ATTATGCTCGTGTGAGCCTTCATTAATGCATGCTTAATAGCTAAGTAGGCCAGAGTAAGGTTCTGGATGAAATGAAGAGGCATCAAGAACACAATGGTTGCAATAGAAATGTGGAAAACACCTTATGCCCTCCTTTTATCTTCCATATGTTGTGGGACTCAGGAGGAAAGACATAGTGTGCCGTGAGCGGAATGAGGGAATGAGGGAATGATGGATCTAGGAATGATAACTATCAACACTCTGGTTTTAATGAAACTCCATGTGAGGAACCTTATAGGCAGGAGTCAGGAAATTCTCAGCCTTCACTTTGCTGTGGGAGGATGAGCTAGATGCTGATTACCTGTGAAAGGGTTATCTGTGAACAGGTTAGGACCACCTCGCTTCTTTATCCAGTTAGGAGAGAAACCAAAGGCAGTGGCCTATAAGTAAACTCTTGTCTGTCTCTGTCTCTCATATGTTGGTGAGACTCAGGTCCAGGCACAGAAAGTTTAGATGTTTGAATTTGCTTATGATTGTTAAAGAAAAATGAAAAGACAAATTTAGATAATAATTACTGGAGTACTAGTTAAGCTTTTTCTTTCATCTTCTGCTGACTGAGTGGGTTATTAATTATAAGAGACCAGTGTGATCTATATTTCCACATTAGGTTTAAAGTAGCCTTAAGATACATTTCTGGGTGAACGTATAGATCTTGTGAACTTTAGTCATATTCTGTATGTTTCTATAATCCATGCCATTAGGGTCTAAATTGTAACTCTCTTTTTGCCTTTCAAGGATTCTCTCTCTTAATCTTTTGCACTTTCCATCCTTCTCTGCTAACAGTCTCCTATACACTTAGATTGTAGCAGATGGAAAGGGAGGGGGCTCACCAGTAGTGAGGACATTGAGACCCAGTGCCAGGGACCCACACAGCACTCAGCACACATCTAGAGCTGGATCTCAGTCCAAATTTGTTGACTTTTCACAAAACAGTGGTTCCTGAGCTTCAGTTATTGGCAAGAACTAAACACAAGTCACAGCCATATGTCTGAACAAAGTTAGATTTTGTTGTGTCAAAATATGAGGGCAAATCTAACTCCCGTCTTGTTCCCCAAAGGCCACTAAAAATACTTCCTCATTGTGGTTCTGAGATCCAAAGAAAAGATGGCTCCAACTGACTTATTACACAAGGTTCAAAAGGTTCATAGCATCCAGTGGTCCCTACCACATTGGATTTTGATGGGTTAAGTGTAAGTGAATCAGTAACATAAAGATTATATCACATTTCTAGTACACACGGGTTTTAAATGAAGGGGAAAAGGTGCATGGAGCACAGTGCATTTATTTTCCAAACCCTACACATTCATAAAACAGTTCAAGATGTCTCAGATAATCAAACCAGTTGCCTCAGCTCCCATCTCTCTGGAAATGATTGTTTGTTTATGCATCTGATAGGTGTGCAGAGAGTGATGCCAAAATTTCTGATAGACAGGTTTTAGATTTTCTAGTTCCTGCTACAGATCATTCTAAATTTCCAGATAATCTAGTTATAAGAGTTTTAGTGTTCTTTCCCATCAAATTATTATTGATTCTGAATAGTCTGCTAACAGTGAATCTTTAGAGGATCCTTTTCTGTAGCTGCTTTTTACTTCTTCCTTTTCCCTGATTATCTAGTTTTACCATGGTGTGCCTGAATTCATTTTTTTTTTCAAGTACTGGGGTTTGAACTCAGGGTCTTGTTCTTGCTATGCAGGTGCTCTACCACTGGAACCATTCTGCCAGGCCTTTTTATGTTGGTTATTTTTGAGATAGAGTTTCACTTTATGTCCAGCCTGGTGTGGACCACTATTCTCCTATTGGGCTTCCCTGTGTGGTGGGATGACAAGCACACACTACCATGCTTAACCATTGGTTGAGATAGGGTCTCATGAACTTTTTTGCCTGAACTGGTCTTGAACCATGATCCTCTTGATCTCAGCCTTCTGAGTAGCTAGTATCACAGGCTTGAACCACCAAGCTGGGCTTAGGATTTTTTTTTTTTGGTGATTCTAGGATTGAACATAAAGTCTTGGTCTTGGTATGTAAGTGCCTTACCACTTGAGCTATGTGTCCGGATCCTAAGTTCTTTAGTTACTTTCACCAGTTGGACATTTTTCCTTAACCCATCTAGCATCATCTAATGTCTGCTTAAATATACATATTAATGAGGTGAAGAGCTTTTATTTACCAAGAATCATTGTTTAAAATATTTGGATCAAAAGCATTCACTTTATCTCCAGTTTATACATGGTAGCTATAATTGAGGTGAGAGCAACTAGTGGTGAAAATGTGAGTCAATTTTTCTGGAATCTAAGAAAGTTAGATAAGAGATGAAGAGAGGAAGAGTGTGGGGCAAGAATATAAGTCAGGAGGCTGCAGCAGGTATCTGGGGGTGAACAAATGGCTGATACAGGCTATGGAGTTAGAGGGAAGACAAAATCCTAAGAAACCCGGGCTGAGTCCACTTGTCCTGTGGACAACCAGATGGGATCAAATGGCTCCTCTGACCTAATTTGTTGTGGCCAATTATACTAATGAAAACTAAGGATGGGAATTTATTTCTTCTTTTCAGGTGGATTACCTCAGGCTAAATTTGTGATCAGATATGAAACTATCGGGGTCATTCTTCCTACTCTGTGGTGCTGCAGGCAGGGTTTAGATATGGAGTAGAGAGGAGGGTGAAGGATAGAGAAGATTCTTTCAAGTTATGGCCTGCTATTGGAAAGACTGAGGCAAGAAAGGAGAAAGGAAATGGGGTGATTACAGACAGAGATGATGTCTTCAAGAACAATATCAGTACTGTTGATTTATGTTGGACTGTATGCATATTGATGCTCATTTAAAATTTGCTATAATTTAAATCTTATAAATAGGTCAAACTGTCCTTAATCTCTAATCCACTTTCTAAGAAAAGTACAAAACCCATTCTATGATTGTTAGTGCTGGTTAAACCTCAGCAAGTTAAAATTTTTAAATTTTGACTTGACATATTTGTACCTACTTATGGGAAATAGTACAATAATTTGAAAGATGTATATAATGTGTAATGATCAAATCCAGGTAACTAACATTTCAATCTTCTTAGACATTTATTATTTCTAGGCATTGGGAAACTTCAGATTCTTATTTTCTAGTTATTTCGAAACTATAGTTATTCTAGACTATAATTACTCTACTCTGCTGCAGAATGCTAGAACTAATTACTCTGTTTCTCTATCCCCACCTGAAGGAGAGCGCCTCCCTTCCCTAACTTTAGTGATCACTCTTCTAGGCTTTTCTTCTATGCAGTCAATTCTTTAAACTTCCACAAATGCCTGAGAATGTGTGACACTTGCCTTTCTTTGCCTGGCTTATTTCACTTAACATAGTGTCCTCCAGTTCCATTCATGTTGCCACAAATGACAACTATATCTCTTTTGTGACTGAATTCATTTCTTTGTCTACTCATCTGTTGATGGGCACTATAGTTGAGATCATATTTTGGGTACTATGAATAGTGCTACAATAAACATTAAAGTTCAGGTATCTCTTGGCATAATGATTTCATTTCTTTTGGATAGATAGTTAGCAGTGGGGTTCTTGGTTCATATGGCAGTGCTATTTTTAGTCTTTTGAGGAACCTTTACACTATTTTCCATAGTGGCTTCACTAATTTACATCAACAGTGGATGAGAGTTCTCCTTTTTCCACATCCTTTCCAGCATGTTATTTTTGTCCTTTTCATATAAGCCATTCTATGAGGGGTGAGATGACATATCATGTGGTTTTGATGTGTCTTTCCTTGAAAATTAATGATACTGAGATTTTAGAAATATATTTGTTGGTCATTGGAGTGTTCTTTTTTTTTTGGGAAATGTCTATTCAAATCACTTTCTCACTTCTTTTTTTTTTATTATTCATATGTGCATACAAGGCTTGGTTCATTTCTCCCCCCTGTCCCCACCCCCTCCCTTACCACCCACTCCGCCCCCTCCCTCTTCCCCCACCCCCTCAATACCCAGCAGAAACTATTTTGCCCTTATTCTAATTTGTTGTAGAGAGAGTATAAGCAATAATAGGAAGGAACAAGGGTTTTGCTGGTTGAGATAAGGATAGCTATACAGGGCATTGACTCACATTGATTTCCTGTGTGTGTGTTACCTTCTAGTTAATTCTTTTTGATCTAACCTTTTCTCTAGTTCCTGGTCCCCTTTTCCTATTGGCCTCAGTTGCTTTAAGGTATCTGCTTTAGTTTCTCTGGTTAAGGGCAACAAATGCTAGCTAATTTTTGGTGTCTTACCTATCCTCACCCCTTCCTGTTGTGCTCTCGCTTTTATCATGTGCTCATAGTCCAATCCCCTTGTTGTTGTTTGCCCTTGATCTAATGTCCACATAGGGGAGAAAACATTTTTTACGATTTGGTCTTTTGGGCCAGGCTAACCTCACTCAGAATGATGTTCTCCCAATTCCATCCATTTACCAGCGAATGATAAACATTTCGTTCTTCTTCATGGCTGCATAAAATTCCATTGTGTATAGATACCACATTTTCTTAATCCATTCATCAGTGTGGGGCATCTTGGCTGTTTCCATAACTTGGCTATTTGTGAATAGTGCCGGCAATAAACATGGGGTGCAGGTGCCTCTGGAGTAACCTGTGTCACAGTCTTTTTTGGGCTATATCCCCAAGAGTTGCGTATGCTGGATCAAATGGTTAATCGATGTCTAGCTTTTAAGTAAAGCCTCCAAATTTTTTTCCAGAGGTGGCTGACTAGGTTCTAACATTTTCCCACCAACAGTTTTGTGTTGTAAAAGAGGGTTCCTTTTTTACCCCGCCAATCCTCGCCCAACACCTGTTGTTT